GCTTGAAGTAAAGTGCCTGATTTTCAATTGTTGGGGTGTAGTTTCCAGTTTCAAGTCTGTTTACTGGAGTGTTTGAGGTTCACTGGTTGGTTTTCTTGTTGAGTTTGAGGTCCAATTAGTTGCCCGGAGTTATTTGTTGTTGCCGTTTGATTTCACAACTGGTTATGAGCTGTGGTCAAGTGTTTTCCTGATTTGAAACTGGGTTTGGAGCTGTTTCTGAATTCCAATTTGTTGTCTGCTGGTGTTATTTGCTGTTGTTGTTGTTTGCCGTGTTGTACAGCTGCTGATTTCCTCTTTATTCTTCTGTTCACTCCAATCCAGGTACACAACTAAGCTCAATTTGATGTAACCTTGAGATGTAAACATGAAATGGAAGTGCTCGGGACCTTAATTATTTGATGTTGTATCTGTAGCTCAGTAGATATATATGATAAGTAGTTGTATAGTCCAATTTGATCTATAACTCAATGAAATGTAGACTGTGAAGTTTGTACTTAATTATGACTGTTTAAACTGTTAATTCGTGTTCATTAGTTATAGACTTAGTATAGTTTAGTACTAATTTCAATTAACATTGAGTTAAAAATCGGATATCAGTATTGTTTGGACCTACAATTAATTCAGAAGTCAACATGTGGTGCTTATTCCGATTTCAGGTTAAACGCGCTTTTAAAACAGCCCAACATGCTAGTTATTGATGTCCTCTCCTTTGTTCGTTAAGCTCACTATTTCGACGTAGGAACAAGTAATTGCATGTTAATGGTTAATATCAATAGTCTACTTGAATTTGAATCAGTTAACTTATTCATGAATGTTAGCAGAATCAAATAACCGAGTCGTGTAGTTCAAAACTCGATCCAGCATATGGATTGGGTTCTTTGGACCTAAAGTTGAAATGGCATTTGGTCTACTAATTTTCAATTGATAGACTATAGGATTGTCTAATATTAACTAATTAGGGCCCCCTTTTACTTATTTCTTTAGAGACAAATAAATAGAAGAATAATAGTCATTTTAGGATTAGCCTTTAAATAATAAATGAGACGAGCCTCGCCAAATAAAACGCATAAGTTGCGGGGCCCTCAGTAAATATTGCGTTAAAATACTTTAGATTTCGAGACGGACCGTCTAAAAAATTTCACGGCTTTCCTCAAAATAATAACGTGCTAGTCACTTTAGGCGCGCTTTTAATAAATTACTTTCTTAAACTCGGGTACAATTTATGTGACCCAAATCCAAATCTCAACGGAGTCGAAATGTGTCAATAACCACGGGTACATTGATGTGACGTGGTTCGAGTCGTGTTTTCACGACGTTGCAATTCTCTCTTAAAAATAACAACAATAAAAGAGGGAAAGAGTAAAAATTTGCACACAGGTCTAACATGTATAAAATCAGATAAATAAGCCAAATATGACAGTTGAGCGACCGTGCTAGAACCACGGAACTCAGGAATGCCTAACACCTTCTCCCGGGTTAACGGAATTCCTTATCCGGATTTCTGGTTCGCGGACTGTAATACAGAGTCATTTCTTCTCCTCGATTCGGGATTCAACTGGTGACTTGGGACACCATAAATCTCCCAAGTGGCGACTCTGAATTAAATAATAAATCCCGTTTCGATTGTCCTTTAATTGAAAAAAACTCCCCTACGCCCCTGCGGGCGCAGGTAAAAAGGAGATGTGACACTTGGTTGCGTAAGGTACCGGGTACCCGTCGCGGCCCATCGGTTTGGGTCGTGACAGATACCCCGAGGCCTAGTGGTGAGCTGCTTCCTGAGCCGTTCTGCAACATCTATAGTCTTTCTTTTGTATTTAGTTTCTGTCTACTTTATTTCAGACAGTAGTTAGAGTTTTGTATATTCTATTAGTTGCTCATGCACTTGTGACACAAGGTCTTGGAACTCATACTAGTAGACTTTATGATTTTGGAGTATATATTTCATTGCATTTGCTCACTCATTAGCCTTCGTCTTACTTTATTAAATTTTTTACTCCTTATTATCTCAATAAATGGAATTCAACTACGTGGAAATTTATTAAAAAGAGTAATTGCATGATTAACCGTTGGCTTGCCTAACAACAACATTGAGCGCCATCACTGCCTATAGCAGAAATTGGATCGTGACAAAAATAGTCTGAGTCTCCTCCCACACGAGGATTCACTCCGTCGTACATATCCTTAATCACCCTAGTGTATACTACTGGAACACCACTAACCTCTAGACATCTCCATAGAACCTCCCTTGGGACTTTATTGTAAGCCTTTTCCTATTTGATGAACACCATATGCATGTTCCTCTTCCTCCCCTGGTACTGCTCCATCAACCTTCTCACAAGATGAACCACCCCGGCATGAAACCGAACTGATTCTTCGAAATAAACACACTACTCCTCACCCTTCTCTCCACCACCCCATCCCCTACCCACCCCCACACTTTCATAGTGTGACTCAATAGCTTAGTACCCTTGCAGTTATTACAATTTTGGATATGACCCCTATTCTTGTACAACGAGACCATCAAACTCCACCACCATTCATCGGGCATTTTTTTAGCCCTAAAAATGACATTAAAAAGTCTAGTAAACCATTCCAAGCCTACCCATCCCAAAGATTATTCATAACCTTAGAGAAACGTCTTTATTTGTTCTTGATTTTAATAAAGTTTTACCATAATGAAATAAATATAGACCTTATTGACATGTGAAATCCGCTTATTCAAGAGGTTGGAGTTTCTTGAAGTCAAGGACAAATACTAACAAAGGGTATGAATAAGGGTTGAAATATCTCGTATGGTAAATAAGTAAGAGCCCGTTTGGACATAAGAAACTTTTTTGACAATTTTTTTAAAAAACTGTGTTTGGTTATCATAATCTTACAATTTTTCTATTCTCACTTCAAAATGCATTTTTAAATTTGAAAAACTAGTGAGAACCAATTTTTTAATTAAAAATGGGAAGGTTGCTAGTTTTTAGTTGCAAAACAAGTTGCTAAAAAGACATCTAAATATGTTGAAAAAATTATAACCAAACACAACTTCATCTTCAATTCAAATTTTAATAAAATTCTGAATTTGAAATTTCTTCTTGGATTTCATGTCCAAACGCACTAAATTTAGTGCTACCGGGAAAAAAAAATGAGCACCATAAGGGGTCGTTTGGTAGGAGGTATTAGAAAAAATAATGCAAGCATCAGCTTTATGCATTACTAATACCTTGTTTGGTACATTTTTTCAACTTGTGTATAACTAATACTTGTATTAGTTATACTTCATACTTGACATTATCCTATGCACAAGTAATGCATAGAAAACCATGACATTAGTAATACCAAGGCTTTAATGCATGCGTTAGCATGGTTAAAGACAAAATTATCCTTAAAGTCTCTTAAAGCTACAAAATATGGAGGGCATTTTTGTAAGCAACTATTTTTCTTAAAAATTATGCAATGCATTATAATTTTAATACACCACACCAAGCAGTAGATAAGAAATAATATTTGGCTTGCATTACTAATCCATGCATTACTAATACACGTTACTCTGCACTATTCTTAGTTATACCGACTTATTGGTCGCATTTCATACCCGACTTATAAATCGTATTTACAATCGCGGTTTTCATGCTACGGTCTACGGGTAAAACCCCGAAAGATATATTGGGTTGACTCGAATTCAAACGGGGGACCAACTGCTTTAAATACAGCAAAACCCTTGTTCTACATAAACCCCAGAAGCTTCTGCCGAAGCCCAAAGTTTTCTCCCTGTCTTCAGTTATGGCTCCTGATGCTGCTGATGCGCTTGCAGGTTTAATTCTTTCACTCTTTGCTTTTCTTGAAAATTTTCAAATAACGTAAGCATGTTATTAACAAATAGATCTTTGATATTGTTTGAGCAGTTAGAGAAAAGGTTATGAAGTTGCTGAATGCTGCTTGTTCAGGGAACATTGCGCTTTTCAAGAGTAAGTTTTCAAGGTTATTTTTGGATTTCAGTTTCTGCTATATGGTAATGATGATTGTGGAAACAGATTTGGCAAAGCAACTGGATGATGGGAAAGGGTTGGCCGGGACGGTGGCGGATGTGAAGGATGCTAACAAAAGAGGGGCATTAATTTTTGCTGCTAGAGAAGGCCAGACTGCGTTCTGCGAGTTCTTGGTGGAAGAGTTGAAGCTTGATGTCAATACAAAAGATGAAGAAGGTAATTTGCACTATTAAACTTATCTTCGTTCATCATTATGTGTGCAGGACCTAATTGAATTGGCTCTATTTTTTTTGTCCTGATTGAAACTTGAGGTTTTTTTTTCCTCTTTAAGGTTTGATCGTAAGATGCACCCAAGGGTGTGGCCTAATGTATATAAATGTAGAATATTCTAGGTACAAAATTCAGAATTATGTACCTTGGTTCAGGTACCCTGCATTCATGTTGCTGACTATGTATTTTCTTAGGCACTGTTTGGTTATAAGCGTGCTTCATATTTCAGGAGCCCAAATTCTTATTGCGAAAGAAAAGTTTAAAATTTAAGCAGCCTTTTATTTGGTTCAACTTTGATTTGAGAGAGCACTGTTTGGATGCTTTCTTATGTGTTAGAAGAAAAAGCTGTGCATCATTTTTGGATCTACTTGGCATCAAAGCATTTTGGTGGAGTTGCACCATTTGAAATTAAATGTTTTCTTTGTTCCTCCAAATATTGGACAATGTTGTCGTGCCTAAGTGCGGACAATTCAAATCTTTAAGTTTAATCTTTCAATCTTTCAAGAGAATGATATGATAGACGAAGATGTGGCACATGTAACTAAAGTGGATATGAAGATGCCTAATAAAATGAAAGGCAAGTTCTACAGAATTGTTGTGAGACCGATAATATTATATGAGAGTGAATATCGAACTGAATACCTAATAAAATGAAAGGCAAATTCTACAGAATTGTTGTGAGAACATGAGACCGATAATATTATATGAGAGTGAATATCGAACTGATGATGCACTCGATTTGTCAACAAGGCGTGTCATTAAAATGCCAACGGTAAATCGATGTGCAGTTGTACAAGATTAGACAAAATTAGAAATAACCAAATTATGCAAGTAGTACACGTCGATAATAAGATTGAGGCATATCGTGTTACTTATCCCAACTTATTTGAGATTGAGGCTCTTATTGATTGACTGATTGATCTGTGCTGAGAGTGATATTGCTGTATATTGCTTTGAATACGTTGTTTCTTCATAGGTGAGACTCCTGTTCTTCATGCTGCTCGTCAAGGACACACTGCTACTGTCCAGTACCTCATAGAACAAGGTGCTGATCCTGCAACACCTAGCGCTTCGGGGGCAACAGCTTTGCATCATGCTGCAGGAATGGGTAGGTTCTTCCTCTTCGTTAACAAAAGTAATTGAAGCTTCTACCTGTGTCTGGGAAAGAGTCCTCCGTTCATATACATGTAATTACTGTAACCTTGCGGCTCCGATGTAGTGAACCTTTTTATTGATAGAGTTTCTCTTTGACAAAATAGTCAACAAAATTTAAAATTTTGGTTGTTTAATATTAATTGATGGAACTTTTGGGGAAATAAGCTGTTTTGGATTTTAAGACAAAATTGTATTGAGAAGTGTCATATTATTGAATATGCAAATTTCCTTTTTACAAAGTTTACATTATTATTTGATGACTTAATAATAGCAGAGTTACCCATCTACTTAACCCTTGGTAGGCAGGTTTACTTGACATCTGTACTTAAGGCAGGCTATCTAGTAGATTAGTCGAAGAGTTGCACATACTGGCAGGCAACTACCGTGATTAAAAAATGAAGAACAGCTTGTAAGAAATAGCTATCAGTCTAAATCTGAAATTTTCATAGTAAAAAAGTGTTTTGAGACTCAAAATAACATGGCAGTCATAAAAGTAGAAAAGGACTTGAGATTGGGAGTAAAGTTGCAACTTCAGCAAAACAGAAGGCTAGAAAAATTAAATGACACTGTATAGCTGCTTTGAAAATATATATTTTTTGTATATATACATATTTGTATGTTATATACAAATTTTATACACTTTTGCGGCTACCGGATGTAAATAGTTTCGGCTGCGGGCTAAAAGTGATCTTTGCCCGAAAAATTTCCCCATTGTGTATTAACACCAATTGAAGAAGATTTGAATGTAATGAGATTGTACACCTGAAAAAGTTAGTAGCCAGAAAGCAAACGACATGCTAGGGTTAGTGTAGACTTGATTCTATATTGTGACTTGCATTATTGAATAAGTGATTACCATATAGTTGATTGAATAGAAGTACAGTTCTATCGGAAGTAATAAAGGATTGTAAGTTCAAAGTTGTGCCCTGACCCATTACTTAAGGAAATATGTGTAGAGGAGCTTTCTTTCTGTACAGTCTCTCGATATGGAATCAGTGATTATCAAACAGGTAATTGAACGGAACAAGAGTTCTAATCGAAGTAACAAGGGAGACTATAATTTGCGGCCCCTCTTACTAAAGGAATTTTTTTTAGAGGGGCTTTCCTTGTTAAATCTGTACCCTTCCCAGGTAGCCTGCATATTGCACGCATAAGCGTAGACCTTCGTCATGGTTGCTCCAATTGAAATAGGAACCACAAGGTAATGATCTAAGTTCTATGTCCGCCAAAAAGGCAATTAACACTCTGCTTTTTTGAATCCAATACTTATTTGAGCAGATCAGCTGTAGCGTTATGCATTGGCTTCAAAATTTTTAGCTGTCTTATACAAGAAGAGTCAGTTGAACTCCAAGCTGATGGCAAAGGACAGTGTAGGAGAACTTTTTGAGATTTTATGTGTGTGTGTATATATATATAGATACATGCACGTGTGTATTACATATACGTATATATCTGTTTATGTTAGGGCTAAGCCCTCTGTTTTTTTGCTGTCTACTGTGAGGAGAAAATAGAAGAACTGGTCAAAAGGCCCCGCAGACAATCTGAAGGGCTGTTGTAAAAATTAAGGAAATAAAGGGAGGAAGAAACTGGCATTAACTCTGGAAAGGCAATGCTTCTAAGACTTGGATACTACATAGATGCCAGGTGCTAGAAATATGGGTTCTTGATGGTTTCTCCTCAACAATTTTGGCTCCAAAAATTGACCTCAAATTAGTTTTCCATCGGTAAACGGCATGAAAACCCGAAAGGGAGCCTTGGAGCAACGGTAAAGTTGTCTCCGTGTGACCTATATGTCACGGGTTTGAGCCATAGAATCAACCGCTAATGCTTGCGTTAGGGTAGGTTACCTACATCACGCCCCTTGGGGTGCGGCCTTTCCCAGACCCTGCGTAAATTAGGGATGCTTTATGCAGCGGGCTGCCCCTTTTTTAAATGACATGAAAGCCCACTAGAATCTACAGAATTTTTAATTTGAGCAAGTTTTGAGGAGTAAGAACTAAACACTCATCAAGTTTTGACCTTTCTCGCTTCATTCTCCTTTTCTTTCCTTTCTTTCTTTCTGCCACATGCTACATCTTTTATTCTCAAGTTATGACTTCAAATGACCCTAGATTGCTAGAGCTTCAAAGAACTGGCATTACTAAAAAGGTTATCTGATGTTGTAATATATGCAGGGTGACATTGAAGATGTAGTAAGGAAGCTACTGATTTTCATTCAAGTTAGGATGTAGTCAAAACTTCTGTGTCTCATTTGTTTCTTCTTCTCTACTGGTGAAAGAGTGTTTCGAAGAAGATCCATCTAAGTTAAACTCTATGAGAAACACAAAATTTGGGTTGTTGGTCATATAATTAGACTTCATGGTGTTTATTCGTGGTGTTTATAACAAACACATTATTAATCCTCTTCATCTTAAAATATCATAATTGGTAGAAAGAATCTCAAGCTGTTGAAGCTTGAAGGAAAGCAAGATCAGTTCTGCAGGCTGGAAAAAGTCCATATGCTCTTCTTCATTCTATAGGATGCATGTTCGTGCAATTATGTTTCTCCTAGATAAAACTTTCTTGTCTCTAAATGAAAATTCTAAATAGCTGGAATCTGAGAAAGTGGATCTAGCTATTTCAGTTGTGGTGTTCATTATATAGGATATTGCTGTTGTATTAATTTGCTCCCTCCATTTTGAATTTGAATTTGTTCATTTTACTGGACATGATGAATAAGAAGACATTTGAAGATAGCTGTTTCTTTATGCAAAATGAGGTAAGTCTTTTAGGCTAATACTTGGATTTTGTTATATGAATTATGAAAACTACAAGAAGTGTAAATGTCGGGTTTGAATTGAATTTTTGGGGTCATTAATAAATGATGCACAAAAGTTAATGAAGACATCAGAAAGGAGGCCCACGAGGAGAGAATGCGTGGCTGGAGAACAAGATTAAATATATAACTGAGGACTCGCTATTACAGAATTCACAAGGAGGCAGGCTGATAACCTGGGGATCTCTGCTGTAATTTGCTTAAAATCCATCATCAGCCTATCTGTTCTGCCATGTTTCTTTCACTTTATCATCACATATTCCTTTTCTCTTCTCTTCTAAGTAGTATGAATCCTAAATGGGGTATCAAGAACATAAGTACGTGTAAACGAAAAACTTGCAAATTCTCGTGAAAATATGTTTGCAGATTTATTTTCCTTTATTGCCACATAGCCTCTGAGTCAGGGATCAAATCATGTTCTAATGGATATCAGTAATCGAGAACTTAGTGTCAGCTTTTCTGTTCTCTATTGGTAAACAATGTGAGAAATCAGTCAACATGTCATGCCTTGTTGCTGTATTATTTTCCATAGTGGTATCTTGCATACTGTGATGTGTGTAGCTACATGCATTCTTCAATTTATTTATCCTTCTTTACGTAGAGTGACATTTTATTGTGCATATTATTTGTTTGCAGGACATGTTGAAGTGGTTAAATTCTTACTCTCAAAGGGCGTAGATGTTGATTCACAAAGTGGTGCTGGAACACCACTTATATGGGCTGCAGGTCTTGCCCAGGAAGACGCTGTTAAGGTTTTGCTGGAACATCATGCTAATGTGAGTGCTTCACTACCTGCTTAAACCCCCCCTTTTCCAAATTAAAATTACCAGCTATTATGTAACAGTTCTCTCGACCAAAGTGGAAAGCAGTTGTATGACTTATGTGCTTCCAGGTAGTTGGTTACTCTTCATCAGAGTATTATAACAGGGAGAGATCTTTTTTTCAGATATCACCATCACCCC